ACGCAACTGGCAACAAACAAAGATGAAGAATACCACTAAAAAGACGACGACGACGACCACCACCACCACCACCACCACTACCACCACGACTAATACATGCTGCTACTGCTGCAGCTGCCACTGCTACATCTGCTGTGACAATGACTGCTACAACGACAACCATGCTCATGCTCAGCACTGCTCCGATGTGTCCATATCCTGACAAACAGTGATAAGACTCTGAAGCTACAGACAAGACGGCATCTGCATATGTCCGAAAGGATTCAAAGCATCGTGGCACTAGGCCGCGCCTGCCACTGCTCTCGGCAGTTGCTTATCGTCGCATTGAAGGGAGATGTGGGGTCCGTACCTAAGCTGAGGAGAATGCGTCTCGGGGCACCAGGGATTGAAAGACCCAAGCGCAGACTTCAATAGAAATAGCCGTCTCGGAGTCTCGGAGAGACTTCACTCCTAAGAGATCTTGAAAGCCGTTCCACAGCAAGGGCATGTAGCCACCCACATGATCTCCGTGCCTGTTCCTTCTCTTCAATGCCGACTTACAAGCAGTCTCTATGCATGCGGGCAGGTCTTAATTCAGCGGAGTCACCAACTGGGACGGGGAAAGTCATGACAAAATGCCATGACCTTAGCACACAGGCTTTCACGAGCTGGTGCGATTTGAGGGAAGGTGCCGGTGGTTGGGGTGCAAAGGTCTTGGCTTCAGGAAGCCACGGTCTAATTCAGCAACATATATAACTAAACTTCTAGCTATATAGTTCCAGTCAGGTTTCAGTTCACGAAAGCTTGCAGCCTACCATCTGGATTGCAAGTTGGAAGCTCCTTCATGAACGAGCTTCGATGATTGAAACGCGTATGCTACGAGTAGGCTTCAATGTGCGCGAATATTCTCTCTCTCTCTCTCTCGCTCTCTCGCTGCCGTTGCATCCAGAGGTCTAGCAGCGCCAGGCAACGCGTGAAGGGCAGCCCTTCAGGCCCCTCGCGAAAACGAAACAGCCGCCCATAAAGTAGCACACAATGCCGACATATGCCAGGCACACACCTCTGCCTTCACCCTCACGGCCCACCCACCACTCAAATAAGAAACCTCACCTACCACTCCCGCCTCACGAACCAGCTGGAAACTGGTTTTGCATGCATCCTTACGCGAACTGACTGTTGCAGGTTCACCTTCCACCAATAGACGCACATAGAACTTCCGCGTCACAACCACCCGAAGGACACGCCACAGATCACAATCGGTTATACTGACACATGCACCCAACCATCATGCCGCCTCAGAGAATGTTGCAACACAGCATTCGAGGTCTCTCAATCGAGTTCGGAGCAGTTAGGGCTAAGCGATGAGAGCGGTATCTCAGACTGGGCTCCGGAACTTGACGATCCAAAGCCCCCCTCCAAAGCGAGCTAGCGCCTTCTGGCTTACCTTTTGCGGCTGCAACTCAAACTGGTGGGGCGAGTCTGTCGGTGTCTATGTTTATTCGGTAGCAGTGATTGAGTGACGGGTACTGCACGCCGGCGGTGCAGCAGTCTTGCTTCCAGACCTAGGCACGCCAGGTGGCTCATCATCCCTCTCGACTTCGACGCCCATGATCGTTATCTTCTCCTGGACAGTTTCTGATGAGTCGCAGAGTCACGGACACCTTCCAAATCCCCAAGCCCTGGCCTTTCCAACCAGGCTTGTGGTTGCGTCCGCCATGGCTCACACCGCCGAGGCGAAGACCTACTGCAGCCTCAACCCGTCTGAGCCGACGTTCGGTGTTTCATGCCTAGCTCAGGCGGCCACAAGGCGGTGCCTGAAGGCCACGAGACAAAACAAGGGGAACGCCTGCATCACAGTTGACACTGAGCGTCAAGGCATTCAAGCACATGCTCGAACCGAATGTGCCGAACTAGAACCGAACACCTTGTTGGTGACATCAGTCGCTACATCTGTCCTCCAGCGGCAGCCCTATCGTGAGACCCGGCCTCTCTCCCTCAGACGGATCTTAATACCTTGCTTCAGCTGCACGGCTGCACGTCTTTTGTGACCGCACTGGTGCGAGTCCGGAACTTGGGATGAGATCCAATAGACGAGAGCGTACAACTTATGTCATGCAAACCCAGCTTGCGAGTCTGCGGACATTAACTTGACCTCCTAGTCCTAGTGATTCAACACATCAACGACCGTCCCATGCTGAAGCTTCATGCTGCCGAAACCCTAAATCCTGAGCCTGGAGTTGTAAGCCCTGCTTCCCCAAATCGTCATCCTCTACTCCTTACAAGCCTTATACCGTCTAAACCTTAGAACACTGCTATATCGCGGCCGCTTCAGACGGTCTGGTAGCTCATTCCCAAGCGCTTTCGATTCCTTGTTAGTGGATCCCGGGATCCTTTCACCTGCGCAGTCTTGCGGCGAAATCTTACGGCAGGACCGTATAACATCGGGAAATATGGGAAAAGGAAGTATATAACACGAGGGATATGTGATATTGGGCAATGTGAGTCTCGTTTTGGAAGCTCAGCCTTTGGGTTGCATGCCCTGCCCGTCACATTGTCATTGCCTGTTTGCCGAACCCCTTGATTGGATGGTCTCTCTTAAGAAATGGGTTGGATTGCTCTGCTTGTGCTGTCGGCAAGATGGCATATCTGTGTTGGATCCGTCTTCCTGAGACGGTGCCCAGTGCGCAGGTACAGACCGGGGGTCTGAACTTGAATCCCTGACGAGATGCAACCTAAAGCTCTTCATGGCACCACAGACAGAAACGAAGACTGATGCCTGACCTCACAAGGGAGCCACAAAGTAGATGCCTCACCATGTGCTCACACCAACAGACGTGGGAAGAGCCGCGAAGAAACAATGCCCTCCCTAACCCCCGCTCTAGCGAGAAGGCGAGCCACAGAGATTCAAAGTTCACACATCCCTCGGTCCACTATCTTCAAGGCACGAGAACCAAGCCTCGATGTCGTGGAGGGTGCGTTCGTGATGCCCAGGGAGGGGAAGTTGGAAAGAAAGGAGGAAGGCCACGAAGTACCTGAGTCCGCCAAACGCTTCAATGTTTGTTTGCAGTAATGGCAAAAGTGAGGAGCAGCAAAACATGCCTTCTCACATCTGAACCTACCATTTACTTACTAGTGATGCTAAGGCGCGAGCCAGACCTGGAAGCACTTTTGTGCAATTAGCTTCGTTCAGTCTTCAGGTGTGGTCATCACTATGCCTACGACTACAAGCAGCATGCACGCACTACAGTGAACCATGAGAACGTGTATGTGCATATTTTGAATGTATGTACGCATGCATGCACTGATGGATGTACGTATGTATGTACGTACGTACGTATGCATTAAGTATATACGCATATACATGCATGACCTGTGCGATGACCTAATAAGTCCTGGTTGCAAGCTGTTAAAGGCAAGCACCGCCGACTGCACAGAGAACCGGTTCCTGACGTAGTGGAAACCAGGTATCCAGAACGAGTCAGCGTGTGTCGTCTACGCCGTGCCAGATGCCAAGCTGGACAGAAATCCGGATTCAAGGAACTGGAACTCCGTCTTTTCGGCTTTTTCTTATGCCATAAGGCTGAAGAAAGTATGCATGCAAAGCATGTCCATGTTCCGAGACGAGCATCAGCATAATAACCCCCATGGAGGGTGCAAAGAGCTCGGCGACCTGAAGGGAGAGATCCGTTGCGAACGAAAAGCTCAGAAAAGCAAAGGCTTCACGATTTTAGGCAGAAGAGTTGTTTGCTTGGGCCTGTGGGGTTCTCTTTCCGACCTGGACCAGCATGTGCAGTTCCAATCATCACATCACGACCAGCTAACACATCCCTTCGCACAGCCATTAGACACCTTCGAAGTTCAGAATTCAACCCGACACCCTGAGACCCAACTCCACGGACGCCTGGCCAAAGAAAAGAACGAGCCCAACTGCGCTGGCCCTGAGAAGCAGGGTACATCTGTTTCTGGCCCGCTTCAACCGGACTGGAAAGGGCATGCTTTCCGTTTCTCTGAACGAGTAGGAAGTCTCTCGTACTTGCGGACGGGGAACAGCGGTTCTGACGCAAGGCTTAGAATTGATTGCGCTTTCTTCCGTCTGATGTGCTACTTGTCGAGATGCGCGAAAACTGGCGAATTCTACAAGGCTGAAGCGAATCTCAATCACTTTACGATTGAACTTTCTGTTTATTCGTCCATATGGAAGTTTGGTTATGAGTTATGAGGCCATCCCTGGCACCATCAGTTTGAAGGGTGAACATCATGAGTTGTAAAGCGATACGGTTCTGCCTGACATGCATGGTGATGTTGATGGCGAAGATGAAGACATAGTCTAGATGGTGATCCGATACCCTAAGGGTCCATGTACCCATATGGTCTATACTTTGGCCTTAATGTAGTCCCTATATAGGTACCTTAAACCCAATGTATATATACTATTTGGGTACATTCATGGGCCCTTAGGGATATATCAGAAGTTGTGATTGCGGCTGTTCCGACAGCCGACGCCTCGAGGATGTGGGGAACCGCTCGCACGCAAACACCTGTTCGGGGCAGACGGACAATGACAATCAGGTGGCACACACATATGCATGTGTATATATATATATACACAAAGCGACAGAGACATAGAGAGAGAGAGAGAGGGGAGAGGGAGAGAGACAGGCAGAGTTTGGGTGTATAGAGGCATGAATCGCAAAGGTGGCACGGCATCGCTGCCACAAGGTATATCAGTACATCCCCAGGCTCACCAAAGGCATCCAACTACAAGCATCTTCATGGATCGACGGCAAGGACACTGCCCTACTGAAGTCAGCAGGTGTGCAGGGCGTTATTCTGGGACTTTCGTGCGCCAGCATTTCCTGAAAGGGAGTGTGCCCGAACGAAACAAGCTTCGCAACTTGGACTTTGAAAAAGCAGCCAAGACCCCAACGAGAAGAAAGTTAGCTGCCGCAGCATTGGCAACGAGTGCCAGCCCATAGAGCGGTCCAGCGGTCACCCACCTAGTCTTACGTTCTTGGGGGCACGGATACAGCTGTGCATGCACATGTGCTTCTTGTGCTTGGTTCTGCTGCAAGCCTTCCGGCTTCAGGATCTGCCGACACAAACATTAAAGTCTGAGGACATCTACTCCTCAGTTGCTCGCGAAGGTGGCTTTGCCCGGGCGGCTGGGATAGGTAAAGCTTCGTCTGCCTTCCTGATAAATCCGACTACTGAAACCCGGCAATCTTGACTCTGGGCCGGAGACATGGGCAAATCCCAAAGAACTCCCCACCCCCTGGAAAACACGAGCCAGCCACAGATTTCGGCGCTCTGCCAGTGTTGCCGCAATGGCGAGCACGGCCGCTGCGCACAGCGCCCCACGCACCAGGAGCCGTCGGGTGAGGGCCTTGGCTTCAAGTGGAGTTGTGCGTATCAAGACGGATATCATGCAAGGAGTGGTTGTTGCTCCATTTTGCCCCCCTCCCCAAAGAAAACTTGAAACCCTAAGGTTGAAGGCTTATGCTTAAACAGGTCGGTGTATGGCTTCGTTTTCGAAAATTACAAGGTTTTAAGATATATGTTGTTCATATTAATTTGATACGTCGTAAGGTCAAAAGTGCTTAGGAGCAGAATCTTGGGGGCCAGCTCATGGCCGCAGACGGATCCAGAACGTCGCGGAAGGTTTACACGACTATTGCGGCTTTGATGGAGATACGCACAGTTCAAGTCTCTAAAGACATGAATCGGACTAGTAACTGTAGCAGTTGCTTGTTCAGTGTAACACCACGATAGACTTCCCTGACTGACCCAGGCCCCACAGGCCCCAAAGCCCAAGTCCAAAAATGGAACAGTTTTGAGGACATGACTGGGAAAGGCCACAGGCCCCAGAAACACAACAATGCGCTGCTCAGCACTGCAAGGTGACAGGGCGAGTTGTCCTCATACGACTATTGACAATAGTGATGCCCTTGGGAGGTCAAGCCGCGCTTCTCACATGTTTGTTACAAGGGAGAGTTTGGAATAGATGTGCGACGCAGAGCAGCCAAAACCGGACAGACCAATAGTTCCTTCCTGTGATTCTATACGCATCAAGGGAAGCCACCGCAAAACTTTGTATGTTGCAAATGAAGATTCAAGCGACCTGCGCCATCCAGACTTTCGGTTACAGTAGGCGTTGGGGATGCCCTGTTCGGGGCTAGGGTTTGAGTGACTGCCGGCACTGTCGGGATAACAGAGCCGTACTGGCTCCCCCGTTGAGAGACTCGGACTTTGACTACGGTTCGAAGACGTTCGAGGCTAACAACTGCCTCGCATCCTACATCCAGAAAGTCGCATGGAATCGCTACTGGATATATCTCGAGATGACGCCACGGGAACTCTAGTTGCAGATTCCATTGCATCCAACCGTCCCAACTGATGCCCTTAATCGCCCCCACATTTGAATTGTCTCTGCAGCGAAGCCACGAACGAAATTGCAGCACAAATAACGATGCCGCAGATCTCCAGCCTCGTTTTCCACGTGACGGTGGGCCGTGGAGAACGCGCACTGGCTAATACTGGTGGAGATGGCGGCGGTGACGTTAGACTTTTCTAGGGTGAAGGCTCTCTTGGGTTGTGGGGTGTACAGAGCCGCAATCCATCACCTTTTCGTGCCCGATGACAACCTAGCTTGACAGCCTAGAATCTATAGTTTTGCAGCAGTCCGATACCCAACTCCTGACTCGGCCTGGCAGCTTCAAAACCTGTGCGCTTTCGACTCTCTCAGACGCCAGGGTGCATGTAGCCCTGGGCTGCCACCATCACCAAATGTCGGTCCAAGCCAGGCGATGGGTGCGGCTGAGGGCTCTCTGCCTGGTGTACACATGCAGGAACATGACTGTACAGTCCCCGACCCCACGACGACACTACGACAGCACATCTCGTCTCTTCTGCAGGACCGACTTTTACATTCGTTTTGGTGTCCTGTTTCAGCACCCAAGAATTGAACGGGCATGCTGAAAGTATACTGCTCGACATTGAGACATGGAAACGAAGACCGTGAGCTTCAAGGTCCTAGGTTCTGCGAACGCCTGTAGCAGGGACAGTGCCAGCAGCATCACCGGTGATTGGTGCGAGGATCCCGTCGCGAGGATCATTGGTATCCACGCCTGCAACGCAAGCTTCCAAACATCAAACTCCTTGCAGTCGCAGAAGCAGTCTTCATTTGCGCAAACCAAGGAACCCATGGAACGGTACTGGCGCTTGTCCTTGTCCAATCCATCCTAAATGCCGAAATCATCCCCGCCTTGTCAAACCTAATCTGAATTAGGGGGTTCAGAAGCAAGAGCAGGAGCAAGAACTCCCCACTGTGACAATAGAGACACAACATAGCTAATTGCAACAATGCTTTACGAGATTTATTGGAGGAGAGGGGAGAGGGGCGCCGGTTTAAAAGTTTTGGCTCCTGCATTGCTGGACAAATCACTAACATTCAATATTCGGGGGAAGGAATTATTGAGCTTTGATGAAGGGCAGACGTCACAAATACGTCCCAACAGAATACACTAGAAGTTCCGCCCATGCAGTACGCAAAGCTGAGCCGAGTAATGAAACTGAGAGGCACATTCTCACCCTGAGTTTGCCGATGTTTTGCAGGACAGAATTAGGGCTTTGTGGGGACTGAGGATTTGGGGAGCACTCTGTGATTAAACCCGTTAACACCTGAAGCTAGTCCACCCCTAAACCCTCAAACTCTGGACCCATTCTGTAATCAACCATGCAAAACTCCAAAACCGAAAAACCTTAAACCCTATATATCTATATATATATATAGATAGATAGATAGACCCCTAGACTACTGAACCAAGCCCTAACCCAGCGGCTCGCGATCCCGACCCGCATGCACTGTGACGCGCAGTGGCTGGAGAAAATGACGAGGCACAGCCAGGCCTCGGGGAGGTTCTTTTTCCCTTTTGGGTTTAGGGTCTAGGGTCTAGGGCTTTGGGTTTACAGAGTTTCGACTTGCATTTACAGGGTTTAGGGCTTCAAGGTTCTTGGGATTTAGATTCTTAGACCATCAGAATCGAACTTGATGGGAAATGAGGCTTTGGACTTACAGCATTTTGACACATACATTCGGATGATCCTGGTGAGGCTTTTCGGGAGGGTTTCTTTCCACCTGCTTTGCCGACCAGACCAGGTCGTAACCTGCAAGGAACACACACTTTGTTTAGGGTTTCAACTCTTAGGGGTTTTAGAATTGGTCTGTGGCTTCAAGGTCAAGAACCCGAGGTCAGCTGGCTAAACGAAAACTTCCGATTGAAAGATCGGCAAGCTGTCTGACATCTGAAGACTCGGATGAACAGCTAGAGCATGCTAGGGCAGCAGGTGCAGCAAGTGCTGCACCAGGAGCCTGCGCTAGCACAAACGGCCGCAGCAATTGCTACACCAGCCAAGATACACTGACACCTTGGACACCGCCCCGAAGTTCTGAACAGTGCTTAGAACTTACAGCCAAAGCTGCGTGTCTGAAGTATCCTGAAATCATGAGCCATGCGGCAGTTATGGCTGCATCAGAATGTGCAAGAGACCGCAGCCCGGACTTGACCTCCTGGATGACAGCTCAGAACTCGTCAACTGCAGTGTTTGCAGATTGCCGCTGGCCAAGTTAACGGTGCGCAAAATATTCCTGGTCCTTGACCTCGGAGGATGTCGTTAAGGACACGGAGTCTGGCCCCCAAGGGAGACACATCATCTCCTGTCGCTGGCAAATTACGGCAAACACTGCTGCTCTCCCATCCTTTCTTCCCTCCCTTTCTCGCTCCGTCCGCGACTCTCTGTCTCTCTCTGTTCGCTGCCTCTACTCACTCACATTCAGTCTGGCTCACTCAATTTCATTCTCCCGGCCATGACATTTCAGGTAAAGGTCTGAACAAGAATCTGCAGCAGATGGCGAGAAAGCAATCGTAAGCATCCGGTTGTTGTGTCTTTAACTTTTCTACTCTATATTGCTTAAAGACTGAGCGCCGAAGATCCACCGTCTTGTGCCGCTAGACTTTCAGCAGCTTCCGACCCCTTGAGTTTGCCCCGCCTTGTCATACATCTCCGCCAAGGTGAGGAAGCCTGCATACAAGCTCGGAATTCCAGGTTCGGTCGGATCGTCTAAAGAAATCCTTGAATATTTTGAAGCCCATGCTCGAAAAGCCGTGCTAACGCCTGAGGACCTATCCTGTGCTCAGCAAATCCTCGGTTCACCTCCTCCTCCGGCTCTCCTGCCTCTTCGTCTCATCGATCACAAAACTCGCCAGCATCACCGTGATCAACGCAGCTGTACCGCTGTCACTATAGCCGTTGCTCGATTTGTACGCATGTCGGAACGCTCAACCGTGCGTGCTATAACGTAGAAACTGTCGAGGGGTCATGGGCTAATCTGCTATGCGGCAGCAATACTTGCTGAACCTATACTAACACATGTTTGACTGCCAACTACGGTGACTATGTTGTAACTTCTGATGTTTTAACTGCAGTTACTACAGATGTTGTAGCTGCTGCATCCTTGATCTTGCCAACTCTGAGAGCTCACGGCCTTCTTCTCGACGGCCGGCCAGGTAGAGGTAACGTGGAGATTCTGGCATGACCTGAAAACTTCGAAATCCCAAACCCTATTGCCTACATCGACCAACCACTTTGGAATAGCCCGCTGGTTTAGCGTTCGATCCCAGGGAACGAAACGAATGTCCGTAGAGCCGTTGGTTTCACACCAAGCCGCATCCAACCGGCAAAGGACGTAGAGGACCACTGCCGGCGCCGACATCATGAACACGAAATCTCGGGAGCTTTCGCAGTGTTCAGTTCTTTCCCACGGACAACCCATTCTCATTCTCTGCGAGAATGTAATCATTCAAGCATGCCTGCTCTGCACCCACTTGCAAGAACACCCACACAAGGCCAAGGCTAAGGGTCTTGCGCTCAACCGGCTTAGTGTTTACTAGAGTGAGTTTATCACTCGGCCAAGCAGCTGGTCCAGTCCAGTCTTGGCAATAAGCAGCTGAGGATGACGGCTAGCAGTGCACCCGCAGGCCTCCGAGCAGCATACCCTGTAGCTGTAGAAGCCCAATTACTTAGTTACGCCTGCATCGCCTTACTTCCGATCCTTACATGTAACCATAGTACAGAGACTCCGTGTAGTTGAACGGACTTCTAGGCCTGCTGGGCACCTAAGATATACAATCGATTGCAAGTCCTTGACACGGAAGCTGCGAGAAATAAGTGATCGCTCAAGGGCTGAAGTTGAGGCCTTCCACAGCACCACACAGTCAGGTAGAAGCCGCGCCGGCGCGCTGGAAGGAGCTCGGCAACTAGCGGGATGATAGCCTGAACTTGGCGAGCAGCAGATGAGACCTCTTGAACAAAGGAACTGCAAAAGATTTGGGAAGTGTCGCATAATTGCGCATATGTGCCCAGGAGGATCCAAGATGGCTTAAAAGGCAATGCCGCTCCCCTAACCCCAAGCAAGTGCCCATCAACAGCTGCTCAAAGACTCGGCACCCCTTTGACCCAAGAGGCAGCCATCAATCCTCCCGAAGTTAGGCCTGAACAAGAAGCGTGTTGACATATTGCAGATGAGACCGCCGGCATCTTGCAAATATCTGTCCGCAAGTAGGAAAAGCTTTAAGGAATCTCGCAATAAGATCTGCGATCCTACTTCGACCATTGCTGCCACGGAAAACAAGTGCCGTTTTTGGCAAGTCATGCTTCAGCGGCTCCCATGACATGAGTAGCCAGAAATCTTAGTTGCATTGTAAGCCTTGCTAAAGCCTAAACGTGACGAATATGAAAATGAGAGTCAAAAGCCTTGTGCGTGCAGATCTCCCAACACTGCCACACTGCGCGGAAATTATATTACTCTTGTGACTTTATCCGGCCTAGGAGGAAGCGTGAGCACAGAGTCTGTCCGAGTGTCCTGCAGGTCGCAGATTGAGGAATAGAAGCATTCTGGTGTATTTATTGCACAGCGGGGTGACATGGCAGTGGATGTTGCGAGGAGGAGGGTGCCCTACGGAACCAACAGGAGTTGCGGAAGAGTGGTGGGCGGGAGAATACACAAACATCATGAGCAGAGTAAGAATATGCAGCAGGTAGGGTGAGAGAGAGAGGGAGAGAGCAAGCGAGTTAGAGAGCGCGAGCGGAAGGGAGGGAGAGAGAGAGAGAGAGATAGGGACAGAGGGAAAAAGGGAGAGGTGATGTACAACTTATACACACATAGGAAAGACAAATACATATGCATACATACACACACACACATACACATACATATAAATACGCAGATATACGTCCGTACTTACATACATACATACATACATACATACATACGTACATATAAATTACATAGAGTGAGACAAGATATGTGTAAATATATGTCTATATGCACACATACACGCGCCAGTTGTGAGATGGATCTGTCAGTAAAAGTAGCTCTACCCTCTTGTGTATGTCGGCGTCCTCGATGACTGCACCAACAGCCCACAGCTCACTGTCGACAGCGTGAGGAAGCGAATCACGACATTTCGGCCGCTTTTGTCCTTGCCGCCACTTCTCCGTGACGCGATAGCGGCTTTAGCTCTTACATCACGGTATTGGTGGAAGCAGAAGATGGATCTGCTGGCAGACACAACATTATCGTCTGACAACTCATGCCGAGAACACAGGAGCCCCGGCGAAAACTAGTGTGCGACCCGTGAGAGCAACATTGAACGCTCTTGAGCCTTTGTTACCTGCTGGTTAATTGTCACCATGTGGGCTTGAGGTCTATTCAAAGCCCCAAACCTTCAATCGAGCTTGGGGCTTTATGACAAATAGGCCATGCTGCTGCAAACCATCCAGCCAGGAGAGTCGAGATGGCATTGCCGACGCCCATGGCTGCCAATACAGCTTGCACATTCAGCTCGTTGAAGGCCCAATCCTCGGCACGTTTGGCCGGAGTGTGGATGCTCTGAGACAAAACATCGTAGCCTGCGGGCTTCAGTTGTGGTGGCGAACACACTCTGACTCTCATATATACCCAATTTTGAAAACTGAACCACGACCACGACACCAGCGACCCTGCAAAGCCGCTTCCCGGCCGAAGGGCCGTATTCAGAAGTCCAAGAGCAAAGGGCGTCGGCCTCAAACGCCGAACAAACATAGTTGAAGCACTCTTGCTATTCTATTTGATGATGCAGTGTATACACTCTATACACCATAAACACTGTACACACTATGTACACCGCAGCTCTCTCACTCTGGATATAGATACTCATATGTGTGTATATATATACACATATATGTACAATTTTGTTTTTCACCCAAGTCAGGTACAGTCACGAAGCGAGGCAGGCCCTCAAGCTGCGCCTGAATATATTTATACATGTATAATTAGATAAATAAATAAACAAACAAATAAATAAATAAATATATATATACATTTGTGTGGATATATATATATATACATATATATATATACATATATATATACAGAAAATAACATAATACAGGCCCCAGTTTTCGGTGGGTCGCACATATACGTC